CCACTCCACAAGACAAGGGCGACTGTGACAGACTGATTTATCGAACTTCAACCAAGTCATCAGGAGGTTCAGGTTCTCGCCGCACTACTGTAGTCACCAAATATGAAGATGACAAACCTGTAGACAGTGCATCTCTCCACGTTCTAGCGCAAGTTTCATTCTCCATTTTGCACATTCGGTGAAGTAGTGCGAACATGCACCTAAACACCACACTCTGCCAAGGATGAATTTAAGTGATGGATAAGTGCTCACCACCGTTCCCAATTTTACTTATACCCTTGGCAAAAGTGGTCGATTTTACTCGCACAAACCCTGCAACCCTAGCTGCCTGTCTTGTTCAGGCCGCTGAGCATACCAACGGTAAGTCCAGGAAACAACCGTAACCAATCACAGCCATAACCCTTTGTGTATGTGTGTGTGTGTGTTTTCACTGTGTCTATGTGCGTGTCTGTGGGTCTGTGTGTGTGTGCGTCTGTATGTCTGTTGAGGGTATGGGTGTGTTTGGTTATGAGTTCGCGTGTGTGTGCTTGTGCTTGTGCTTGTGCTTGTGCTTTCGTTGTTTCTTTTTTGTTGTTGTTGTTGTTTTTGTTTTTTTTGTTTTTTTTTTAAACACAGGCCCAGTGCCCAAGGCTGATATTATTTCGTGTTTTAATGAAATTCTGTACCCGTAAAAAATGGCCGGGAAATCCTGGCCTTACGGGTACCACCCTTGAGTTAGTTTTGATTTTTATTTTATTTTTTATTTTTTTATGAGTTAGTTTGTTGTTTCTGAAGCAAGCTCCTGGGCTTATATAGTTTAATTGGTTCAAACGCACCGTGTGAGTGTGCGTGTTGCCATGTTCGTTATACACAAGTCCACAAAGAAAAGCATGACTGTGCCAGACTGTTCCGTCGGACTTTCACAGACTCATCAGCGGTTGTGTGTATTGTGTGTGCTGTCATGTTCGCTGTGACAATCCATAAAAAAACATCACTGCTCCAGACTGTTTCGTTGGGCTTCCCCCGACTAGTCAGGATGTGTGTGTGTGTGTGTGTGTGTGTGTGTGTGTGTGTGTGTGTGTGTGTGTGTGCATGCACACATATTTGTGTACGTGTGTCTGTGCGCACACGCGTCTGTGTGTGTGTGCGTGGGTGCGCACGTGTTTGTGTGAGTTTGGGTGCATGGCCCTCGCCGCACCACGCACCGAAGGTGCAGAAGACAAAAACTATGGCGGTGCATCTTTCCATGTTCTTGCGGAAGATTCATCCTCATTTGGTGAGTGGTGCGGCGAGGCCCTATGCCTCGTCTGTAATTCGGGAATGCGAAAGTCACTCACTCACCTTCGTCCACTACGACGCACGCGCAGAACCAGTCGCCTCTTTGTTTCTCTTTCCCTCGTCCTTAGCTACCTGAGCTGGAGATGGCGATGGCGATGCCACGAGGAATTTCCCCGCCTCACCTGAGGATGAGCGGCAGGCGCGCTCGCTCCTCGGATCTCCCCGTCGTCGGGATGGTGCGATTGACATGCAGCATTCACCCACCGGTTGACAAGCGTGCGGCAGGTCGCACAACTTCGAGAGGCCCGCCGTACGTCTGCAACAGCGGAAGGTGTCGTAAAATGTAAGCGTGTTTCCGTTGGAGGCCCCAACATCCTTTAATCCTTCTCATTAGGATTGGACCACGTGATCATCTTTACGTACCATTCCGGCCCGCTGCGCTACTCGATCGCTAAGGCAGACAAGTAGCCCAAGGCCTGGACTGTGAAAAGCGGTCCAAGTACCAACTGGCCCAGTTGGTCCCAGTTGATACACCCGTGAACTCTTGAAATATAGGGTCTCGCTCCACTACTCTATACTCTCGAAATTTCGAGAGTAAGGCCTCGCTCCACTCACTCTAGATAGGTGCTCTCGAAAACGCCCTTCGAGAGCTGTCAGAAAGCACTCTGGAAGGGCACTCTCGAAGTGTCTAGAGTGCCCAGCCTGCGACGACATGATTTTCCAGTGTCCTCCCTCGTAACCCCGCTCCGACCATTTTTTTCGTGAGTGCGCCTCGTGTCCCGACCATCAGAACAGGGCGGCGCTCTCTTAGTGCAGTCAGAGAGCTCGTCTCATTCCGCCACTGCATCTCGAGCAAAGCCTTCTAGAGTAAGTGGAGCCAAGACTTTTTTTTTGAGAGTTTTGCACGTCTGACAGCTCTAGAAGGACTCACGAAACTTTTCGTAAGTCGAGAGTAGTGGAGCGGGACCCATAGACTCGAGTTCGAAGTCCACTCCGAGCAGATGAGTGAAATACTCCAATTCTGGATTAACTAGGGCCGGTCAGTTCTATGATGGTATGTCAAGACCGTCACCCTTCTCAAGGGGGGCGGAAAAAAAAAAAAAACGGTCGAACCAGGAAATCTGGCTCTGGTCGGGAAGTCTCAAGGAGGGACAAAAATTTTGAAAAAAAAAAAAGAGTGGGACAAAGGAAAGGGGAGAAAACGAAGGAGGCGGCACCGGAGCTCGCGAGCATAGTTTAGAGTTTCTACCATAGCCGCATGGAGCTTAGCCACCACACCTCGGTCGGGGCACATAGCATGGGGGATGGGATGGGGGTCTTGCAGTTGTCGAGCTACAAAGGATAGCTCGAGCAACTGAGACACGAGCTTGTCTAGATCTTAGAGGGAGGAGTGGCCAGGCACTCTGAGGAGGATGGCAAACAACATGGGGGCGTCACACGGGAGTTGTAGAGCATAACAAGAGACGGGTGGCAGCGTTCAAGACAGTGATATCACGAACAAGCCAAACATTTATGAGTCGACGAGCGTTGAAGACAGTGTTCTTCCGATGGAATACTGTCAAATGCGGACAGAGAAGAGCAAAGGATAATTTTCAAGATCGTGAAAAGAGAAACATCAAAGGAGCAACACTACAGTTTGCGGGTGCTGAGTCCTTCCCAGTGTGAAAACCGAGCAAATGAGCATAGAGAGGAAAAGAGAGAGAGAAAAAGAGAGAGGGATGGGCATGAGAGAGAGACAGTCAGACAAACAACTGACAAACAGACCAAGTAGAGACTACGTAGAGAACGGTAAAGTTACTTATAGTAGATAGTTCAAAATGATAAGTTGAAATATAAGTTAGTATATTTGTAAAGTTGAAGAATGGGTTAGCATATTCCTAAAGATATAGAATAGGAAACAAAAGGAAAGATCCATGAATAATAGTATTATAAAATCAGGACGAATGAAGGGAAAAAAATTATCAAAGAATATGGAGAGAGAGAGAGAGAGAGAGAGAGAGAGAGAGAGAGAGAGAGAGAGAGAGAGAGAGAGAGAGA